GTTTTGAGTCAAACAAAAATATATTACAGGAAACTTGAGTTTTTCATGCAAGAAACAGTGCCATACTTATTAGAGATTTCGTGTTAAAAGAATCAAATAAAAAAAATTTTTAATGACATCCATGTCAAAAAAATAAATAAATAAAAAAGTGTCCTAAATATATTAACGAATAATAAAATTATCGAATCTTTATACAGCTACATGCTAGAAAATTCAAATGCAAAAGTAATTTATTCTGGGATAAAAATAATCTAATATATTTGAAAAAAGTCTGGGTTGAAGATGACTAGAAACTTTCAGTATCAGAATTGTCAGTTCAGAAGACATTGCAGGAAAAACGGAAAGTAGTATTTGCTGAAGGATAAAACAATTTATTGCTTACTACGATATAGATTATCAAAATCCCTGGCTGCTAAAAACTCATTGACTGAACATAAATCTTTTGAATACATGCATACACATTTCAAAGAAGTGGAATAGAGATAGTTCATTATTTGAAATTGTGACAAAACCATAACTTTCAGTTAACGATTAATAAGAGGAACAAAAAGACAATCTACATTTCATCTCCCAGTAATTCATTGTAACTAACAGCTATGAAAAAAAAAAATTAAAAATTAGCTATCAAATAATTTATTTTAAAGTTGAAGGGGACTTGACAGCAGACTAAGAAACTGTTTGAATTTTAAATTACTAAGATTGCGATGTTGTGAACAACTCAAAAATTACTGACATAATGACACATATAAGTATATCTGGATTAAAGTATAGGGAGTAAACAACATTTAATAAATTCAAGCAGACTCTGCTCTTACTATACTGTCATCGAGTGAACTTTATGCTGGAAAAAGAAACAATTTATTTTGATGGAACTTATCCCCAGAGAATTGATGGATTTTTAATTTGAGATGTGAAACATAAGATGCAATGATTGGAAGAACGGACGAGCACTACTCGATTGAAATTTTAAACACTTCTTTATTCATTTAAATAGAAACTAAATCAAGAACAAAATGCAGAATGAAATAGATGGGAGAGAGAGGGAGATGGGTAATTGTTTCAAACGGTTATGAAAGAGAAATGTATAAAAAAGAATGAACGAAGATGATGTTGAGATCGTTAGTATCACATAAGAAATGGATCAAAGAGGTCGACAGAAGGAAGGAAAGAAGAAGCAGAATGAAGCAATCTTTCTATAGGCTCTAATAAGGTCAAGCAATACTGATGACAATGAAATAATCGAACATCGAACAAAAAAGCATAATAGAGCAGAGAAGTTCCAAATTACTGTCGATCGTATCGAGAGTGAAGCACGAAGGATTGTCAGGAAATAATATAAAATTGATGGTATCTGCTGAACCGAAATATTACAGATTGGAAAAATGTTATTGGTAAGGACATGCGACCCGAATAAGGACAGATCAAATTTGATCATTTTAAAGAATAAAAAAGTGCACGACAAGGTCATTATTATCAGTCCCCGTTTCTAAAACTGCGTTTCTATGATAGTTGAAAAGAAAAAAAAAAAAGAAATATGTAGACTACTGAACCAAAAAAAATCCCGTTTACCATCATGATCAACGTACAAACAGAACACGATCAAATATTGCAACACCTTATGTATTTCTTTGTCTCTAAATGAAATCCTTTCGAAATGTTTCATTTGTATAAATTTTCTCATCTTGCGTTTACATAGATTTCGGTTGAACGCAGTTATGCTTATGCATTATAAATCTAGGGTTTTTAATTTCATCTAACAGACGAATGAGTGATTAGCTTCAACAGCTTACAAAAATTATTTGCTGCTATAAATAGTGGAATGAAGCATTGCATAAAATCAAGTTTAATTAATTATTTAAATACCAATATCACAATGTTTCTGCGCTATATTTTCATTTATGTCAGAATAGTCACTTGAGATTTTGGAAAAAAATTAGGAACTTTGTTTAAAAAGAAAGTTGTAAATTAAATTATACAATTGCAATATATGAATGACTTTATCAGTACATACATATGAAAAAACCTGGAAGCTGTCGTGTTACAATCAACAAATTAGTACGGTTACACGACAGTTAAACTTGCTTTCGAATTTTTTAAAAATGAAAATAAAATTAAAAAGAATTGACGAGAGAACTAAAAAATTAAAATGTTACAGAAAATAATGTCACTACAGAGTGTCTATAAAATGTGAACAAACGTTTTCTATAAGCAATTGTCATGACACTTTATAGCTTCCATTTTCTCGAAAGCAATTCTATCTTTATGTCCTTTTCTCATTTATTCCATTTTCAAATGAAAATCTGAACAAAACACCGAAAAATCAGTGCATATTTCCATCCTTACATCTCATTTCCAAGACGTAAAAAAAGTGTTAAACAGAAGAAATATTTCTCTAAAACGTCTTACATTTCCTCGCAGTAAATAATTTTCTTTTACATTATAAACAAGCAAAATTGCAACAGTGTATTTCACAATTCACGTCTCAATTTTGCTTCACCAAAATCTTAAGTTATACTTACTAACCGAATAGAGTCATGTTAAAGCAACTAGTTAATAGTTTTGCTTTGCACCAGCCGGATATCCAATATATTTCTTGTTCTCTAAATGATTGAAAAACCACTATATATCATTCTAGTTTTTGTAAATGAATGATTTAATTTTAACTTACATTTTTTTCCTATATCCTGTATTTTTTCCTATAATTTTCCTATATTTGTTTTTATTTGAATAACACATTTTTCATGTTTCTGTACATCTACAAATTCTAGGCTGATTGTCACACAAACCAATATTAGCATTTCAAGCTTTTGTATCAAACAATGGAGAACCTACTGAGTTTGCTGCAGCTTCCTGTCACATCAACCGTCATAAACTGAATTACTATTTTTTAAACTGATAAAAACGTACAGACAATATTTCAAGATAAAATACACATCGACCAGAAAACTGGCAGAATTTTCGCGAAAAAAGATTAGACCCTCATCAGCTGGTAACAATGTGAGGCGAAAGTATCAAATGCATCTTCCCACAATATAACCTAAATTGTTGAATTTGTGAGTACACTTCATCTTAAAATCTTGTCCTCACTAATCGGACAATAAGTCCGAAAGTCACGAAACAGTTTCCAAAAAGCAGTCGAAATTAAGAGCCATGATGAGGTAGGTTTTCAGCCTGTCTACGTCATACCCTACTATAGCATACAAACACATGCTACCGAACTTTTTAACAGCACTTTTTCATGCTTTGAGATCGATACGTTAAAACACCTTTTTGCCTATTTCTTACGACTAACAGCTGTTCAATCCAACCTGCCAAATTCTCGATAAATTCGGACGACTGCTTCTGTATGTCTGCACTGAAAATATTTGAAACCCCAACCGATAACTATTCGCATAAAACTGACCTTTAACAAAAATTGTCACACCATTTAACAGGAGGTTTATGAATGTGACACGCAAACAGAAATATATCTATTTGTTTGAAGTATTGCAGTATATTTTTAGGACCTTAGTAAATTGTTGCTTATGCAAAACAAATATGAACATTCACAAAATATTAAAGTGTTCAAGGATTTATATATCCACAGATAATTCAGCAGACACAATTCAAATCATAGAAACTTTACAAGTTTAATGATATTGGCACTACAAAGATTCCGAAATTCCAGAATTATATCGATCTCTAAAAAGAAAAGTGTTCAATAGTGGCGTCACCCCTTCCACCATTTAATACTCAAATTTTAAACTTCTCATTCTTGAGGTGGCCAAAGAACCCACGCAATGTGCAAATTTTTTCATGCTCTGTTATTAAACAATTTAAAAGCCTTTATCATTTTCTAATTTTCTTGCATTTAAAAAAGTTAAAATCTAAATAGAAACAGAAGGACCAATTAAAGCAAAAAAAAAAAAAAAAACGAGGACTGGTTGGAGAAATGTACAGAAGTGAACTGCAATCACAACCCCAAGCGAATTATCCTCTCATTAAAAGTAGCAATCTTGTGCTCCACAACTGAAATTGCTGATAGTCAAGTCATCACAAATCAACTTCGAGACCACGCATAAGAGTAACGTACCGACTATTAACTACCAATTCTTTTACTTATGTACTGAAAATCCGAATGTATGTCTCAACAACTTCCTCATCATAATCGATGAAAATGTATACATCCAATGCAAAAATTTAACATCCATATCTCAAATAACTTACTAAAAAATTTTCTCTCATCAGTGGTCGTAAATAGTAAAATCAGGCACAAAGAAAAATTGAGTTTTCATAAAACAATCATTAAATCAAACACTGCATTCATAGTTCAATCCAGCAAAACATTCAGCAACAGGAAACCAAAAAAAGAAATCCATATGAATGAGCAAATATGAAGTTGGTTTCATCAAAAACAAAGTTAGCGAGAGAATAAGAAACAAAGGCACTGAAGCATAGGAATGCGTCCTGAAGCTTTTTCTTGACGCGAATTATAGAAGATGACCTGTCAAAAATAAATTATTGAAACTCGTGACCAACTCCCAGGCCATAACAACTCCAGCTTTGCATTTTGTCAGATCACAATCCAACTGATCTGTAGAATCACTAAATACTAAAAGAATTAGTTTCAAATAAAAACTTAAAAAACATGAAACAAAAGCAACACTTACTTTTCCAACACTACAAAACTGTGCTTAATCTCAAGCATCATAGTTATTGGACCTAAAGTTATAGTTATTGGACCTGGTTTTGTTATCTGTTTCACATTTACAGTATATGTCTAGTACTTTTTTGTTCTAAAAAAAGCTCACCGAAAAACTCAAAAGTTGGTAGATCACAAGTGCTGTGCGGAAACAAAGCAGCTACAAACTCTGATGGAAAACAAGGAAAATTTTTTCTTTCAGAAGTGATAAGTTATTAAGACAAAATAAGATGCATTTTTTAAAGATGTATTAAAATAAACAAAAAACTAATCAGTGTAATTACTTGCAGAGAAGAATAATTAGTAAATAGAGTCGTCTTCAAGCGTACATGAACTTTGGTGAAGTGGTGGTAATATCCATCGCATCTTCTCGACTATTTAAAACACTCGATGCCACGTCACTATCTGAATATGCTATCGACGAACTGGAAAAGTATTAGAGATACTACAGTTTCTTAATAATAACTACCTGTTATCACTTCATATGCTTTGCAATTTTCATGCCTAGGATTACTGAAAAATGGGTAAAGAGAAACTCCCATTTCCAAATTACTTCAGCATCACCTTTGCGCTAACGTGTATTTCCCTTCACAAGTTTATAGCTCCATATATGTTTACATCACCACAGATGATGAACAGAAGATGCAGTTCAAGTTATATTTTATAAAGTTAGTGCAGAAAACATAGAGATAGAAGAAATATTTTAAAATGTAGAAATGGTAATAATCAAAGTTCCAAGGACAAGAACAAAACATTTACCGGAAGCCAATATTTTCTTTATCAGTAAATTAATTATACATACCATTGATTTTTATGCGGTGATAACGCCTTTGTTAATCTCGGCTTCTGCATCTCCTCGAGAACACTTGGCGCAACGTATGTAAAACCTTCGAATGGATTCACTGATAAAGAGATATTCTGTTCGCAAGGGGAATCAACTGGTGTCATCTTCGTGAATTTGCTATCAAACAAGGATACATCATCCTCCGAAGTGATATTTGGCTTGTATGGCGGCTCCAACTGCAAAACCAGAACAGTAAAAACGAGGCAAGCAAGAAAAGTGAACAGTAACTGCACTGACTTATTTTTCGTTATCATATCATTTGGGTCTTACAAAACAGTGACAACAGAAAACAACCTGCCGTGCGTAGACCAAATCCCAATTGAAAGACCGGAAAAAAGAATGCTGCTTAATTTCACAAGCATCCTCAGGCCCAGCTCCAAGTCTTGTTTCAACATGTCTCTTCAACAGCCTTTTGATCAAATCACGCGCTTCCATGCTCAAAAAGGATGGCAGTGTAAGCCTTCCTTTTAAAATTTTGTCGATTGTCTTCTTCCTAAAATATGAAGTAAGATTTCTTAAAATGGTAAAATACAGCAAAAATTTTTCACATATTTAGTATCAAAAACTTGACAATGAAATCATAAATTAATTGAATAATGTAATCAAGGCAATAAAACCTGTTATCAGCTGTGAAAGGTGGGCCGCCAGTTAACATATCATATGTTAGCGCTCCCAAACTCCACCAGTCTACTGCTTTATTGTGTCCAACTCTCATCAATATCTCTGGTGCCATGTATTCAATAGTACCACAAAATGTGTGCGTTTTCTGGTCACCTTCAATTGCTTCTTTGCATAAGCCAAAATCAGTCAATTTCACATGTCCTGAAAAATCTTACTTTCCTGAAAAAAATGAAAAAAAATTTTCTTTTTTTTTTTTGGAAATAAATGTATCATTAATGATGCAACTAACTGACTCTAAGAATCAAACATCTGCATCCTGCATGAAAAATGCAACTAACCTCGACTATCAAGTAAAATATTTTCTGGTTTCAGATCGCGGTAAATGATTCCTTGTCGATGGAGATGCTCTAATGAACACACTATTTCACTTAAGTAAAATGCCGCTGTGTCCTGTAAGGATATAATACAAATATTTGATTTTTTTATGCTTTTAAACTGCCACCAACCACATGCGAAGACATCCCTTCTGAGACAGTTACATCAATGTAAGTTCCGTTTCGAACTGCGCTATAATGTTAATCTCTACAATTTCAGTTATTTTGCAGTCTAAATTATACAGCCATAACCTTGAAGATGAAAAAATGAACAATAAAAATAAATGACTCTTTTATTGAAATATCAGATTTTTTTTTTTTTTTTTAGAGAAATGTACTTTTTAATATGTATTTCTTAACTAAGCTTATAGAATTTCCGGAATAATTTTCAAGATTATACTTGAAAAATCTATTCAAATACCGATATTCTCATCCTTCCTCCCCACAGTTTAATAGCATACCATTAGTTCACATTTCAGAGCAGATATTCATAAAATGATCAAACAACTAAGCATATATTTTTAATAACATTTATATAGCAGAAGAAAAACAAGGTTCTCTAGAGAACTCAGTTCCTTAATGTAATAATTCTTATCATACACTCTTCCAATCTCAAAAATCATTTTTTTCTTCAGTCAAGTATCTTGACAAGAAATACAATTCCAAATGATATCCTGAGCTTTAATAAACTGCTCCATAAATGGTTTTTTGTATGGTTAAAAATGAATATTTAAAAATTCCTTAACAGAAATTTGATTGTAAAGAAAATCAAGTAAATTTAAAGATTGCCTCCATGAAAAGTCCTTCGCGCTCCAAATGCATAAATAATTCGCCACCACTTAAATATTCCAAAATCAAATATAATTTGCCGCCTGTTTGAAAAGCATAGAGGAGGTCACATATAAAAGGACTCTAAAAATTACAGTGCAATTATTAACTAATTTAATTACTGAATGACTACAAATACTCAGTAACTTTGGCGATGAAAGAGTTTTATGTTATCAATTCCAATTTTTTCCCTTTGGAAGCTTTCCCTAAAAAGGACAAAATTTTTATTCCAAGAAGTTAAGAAGCGACAATTATTGCTAATTCATTTAACCTGCATCATTTTCATTTCGATAAACAGGTCAGACATTTAAGCTAACCTTTACTGCTTCCAAAATATTCCTTTCTGCTTTTGTATGAGCCGTGTCTTTCTGATTTCTGATAATTGTCGCTTTTTTTAACACTTTCATCGCGAAAATCCTTCCTTCATCTTTTCCGTTAATCTTCCTAACTTGAAATACCTGCAGTAATATTATCACTCTCTGCTTACAGTTTCCACAAGTATTAGTTAGCATTCCAAAAATAACATCCCAGTATAAAAATCTATTTTCACAGCAATATACATTTCCACAACAATTATAAAAATATCTTTGCTAACAAAAATTTCACTTATGTAATTAAAATATTAAATCATCGAATTTGAACTATCCGTTGATAATGACAATATAAACCATTAAATCTACCATACTTTTCCATATCCACCTTTTCCCAAAACTTTGAGCAACTGGAAATTTTCTGGGCCTAAGCGCGTATTTGGTGGATTGACAGTTGATTCATCCAAATCAATTTTCTCAATATACGGATCTTCTCTGAAACAAAAAAACACAAAAACAAAAACAAAAATCGAGGATTTTTTTTTCCTTTAATTGAACAGCACAAACAGACATTCTTCCACTTTGAAGAAAAACCAAATGTGCAATTAGAAATGTTCTGATTTTTCCGAACTTCATGAAATTCAACAAACATTTGTATAATTTTCACTGTGTTGCTTGAAAATGCAAAAAAGATCTCTGAATCGTACTATCAAAACATATATTATTTCTTGGAAAAACTAAACTTGGAACTCACAAGTAGGACGAGCTCGGCGGCGGTGAACTGATATGCCCCTAAAAAGAGACTTTGTTAAAACTTCCAACATGTAAGAGATTACCGATTTTATAGAGAATTTTTTTAATTAATATAAATTTTATTATCTACATTGAAACAGTGACTGCACCAATTTCCGATATAACATCTTTTTATATTTAGAACAGTATGTGTGATTTCAATCACGAAATTGAGTCGACAGTAAACGAAAATGTTTCATTTGTATTAAAAGAAACCAACATCTTCAACATCAATATATTCATTATCCTCTTCCATCACTTCATCACCCAGCACTGCTGCGCTAGTCTGGTGGTCATTCAATTCTGCAAGGGACTAATGTTTTCTCAACTTTATGACACTTGAAAAAATCAAAATCAAGACCGCTTTAATATTCTCTGCATGCGGGATACATACATTTTATTTTTTTTATCCATTTTAATACCTAACGCCTTCAAGAAAGGAAACAGCTTCACTTTTAACTGACCAATATCGAAAACGCCCGCCATTATGTGTGCTTCTTTAAATCACCGCAACAAGTAAGCAATGCTAATAAATCATCCAGAAATCGATAAAAGTCAGAGTAGAAATTAGACAAATGAACTTGATTAACTGCAAAAAAATCAAACTGATTCATTCATCCGAAACACATTTTTGAAAGCCAGCAAGCCAAAAATCTGAAATTTCGTAAAGCGATTTAAATTTAACCCAGTAATCAATAGTGACTGTGCTGCCAAAAAATTGTAGAACGCAAACTAATTCGTCACGCAGTTACTAACAATAACCATAAATTCATTATTTCCATGGTTATTTTATAATTAAAAATAATGAATTTATCGTTGTTTCATAAACGATGATTCAATTTGATACACTGATCTCTACCGCCTCCTTTACTTCTACTAAAATTACTTATATATTTGATTAGGAGAACGACTGTAGAAAATTAAAAATATGTCATTAGGTTTCGTTTTGTCAACAGTGCAACAACTGCAAGTACAGCAGCTATGATTCATTCATAAAAGCTTAGTCGTCGGAAGCTAAGAGATGAAAAGTTTATATCAGCTTTTTCACACTAGAAATGCATAAAAATAGTTGCCCGTGGGTTTAGATTTATTTTCTAAAATAGTGAATTACAATACGAAACACTCAAGACATGTATCTAGTGGTTCAAATATCAAGAAATCCTAAAAATTTAATGAATTATTAATCCGAGACACTGGAGTTATAAATTTAAATAAACATTAGCTTCGTTACAAGGGAAGCCAAGTATGGAAACATGAATTGCGCATGTATTAATAAGGATGGCTATCAAAAGAAAGGAAAGCAGTAAAATCCTATGAAAGGTATCAATAAACGAGCTCTAAAAGCTTTTTGTTTGGCAGGATATGGCAATAGCGAATCCCTCCCACACATGACCTACTAACCTATAGCTTATTTCTATATTGATGAAAATATTCTGCTGTTCGTTGTTCCAAATCAGTCAGCATATAAATGCATCAAGAAATGTTTACGCACTCAACTCCATACTTCATACCTCAAAACTAAACAAAGCACAAAGTTCAACATTAAGCACAGTACAAAGGAATCTCACCAGCGCAATTGAAAGAGTTCACGGATTCATTACTTTTTGAGAATTCTACTCTCTGACCAATTATAATTCCTCACTTCTGATTTATCATTTCATTAAAAACCCAACACACACATATACTTAAAAACCATTCTATATAATAAAAAAAGCTAATACAGATAATGTTTCAGATAGTATTACAAGCAAGCTCACAGCATTACTTTTATATCCAGTTCACCTAGAATCAACCAGCGTGATAAGCACTAATAACAGCGGTATTATTTCATAAAAGTGATAGCTAAGTACATACGAGGCTTATTCCTTTCAGTTTCAACCCATCATATTTTCATTCTCACAAAAGAAAAAAAAAACTGGAGCACAACCAATCAAAAATTTTCTACTTTTCCTATTCCCTAGACCTTTGGATGACTAAGTTCCTAAAATGTCAAGCAACCTCAACAAGCATCGGAAGTTTCGGCAACGTACATGATCTACTGAGAGAGAAAAAACACGATAAACCTGCTATCCTCTTATTTGTCGTACTACGCCCGTACAGTCACGTTATGGATGATTAAAAATTGGGCTCAGTAAGCCTTCTAAAAAGTGATAAGTCAGACAGCCAAAATATTGTCAGATGTTTTTGTACAGAAGGATGGAAAATATCACAAAAGCACTTGATTTATCTTTCACAACAGGAATAATGAATTTCAAAATTATGTGAGCTAGTCCGGATTGACTAACCACGACCAGTTCATATTTATAATTCGATTTCGAGAGATTCGAGAAAGTTTTTTATTTTATTTCACTGTTTCACTTTACTTTTTTCATTTGAATTTCCTATTTTTTCTGAATAACAACTTTTCATCATCGTACTTACATCAGTTTATCTTAACTGTCTGAACACACTTTAAGATATGCTCAGATTTTTTGATTTCACTTATTAGATGTCCATGCAAAAGCAATTCGTAAACTACTAAAAAGTTTAATGACCTTCATGAACTGACAGGTTAAGTCATCATCTTGAAGAATTTTTATTAATTGAAAATCTAAAACTGGGAACATATGAAATAAGGTCTACTTCCTTTAAATTTTGGGAAATCCTTTTATAATCTAGCACTAGCCTTCTTAATATCCTAAACCAGAACGTGATAATTAAAAAGTACTATTTATACTATTTACCAAAACATCCTTGCTGAAAATTCTAAATTCCAAAAGTTGCATAATGCCATGCATAATAATTACTCAAGTCGTTCAGGTTATTAAGAAAACGCAAGAAGTGTCATTTTTTCTCTTTATCACCAACAGCACAGTTTTGGAAAGTACCGAAGTACATAGATGTTGCACGGAAAACATACGAGAAGAAAGTCGTTTCAATCTTCCCCATACACCATATTCCTCCTTTTGAGTGTTGCTCCTTACTCTATTACTTCTCATTTCTTTCTCAAATTTATAGTCGAAAAAAAAAAAAAACACTTACTCAGAGACAAGCCTATGGCAGCCAAGGTAAACCACGACATAAATTCTGTAGCTTCTGCAACGAGATTTGAAGTGTCAAGCACACAACAAATACTCTCACGTGTTAGCAACCAGTCCTTCCACCAATAACAGCGATTAAGAACAAGGCTTAAAGAAGACATATCCAAGAATGGGTATGGCTAGCTCAAATTATCGTTGTCAAGGAGAGAAAAAAACACTGCTTCCGAAACACACCTTACTTTCATTTCATGGTATTGTGATAACCGGTTCATAACTCGACTAGTTAAATGCAACGACTGTACGCATACAAGAGTGTCTTATCTCTCAGCACATTAATAAAATTCGGTGAAATGAGGGATACCTGAGAAAAATATAGAATTGATATGTAAATAGGATTAAAAATAAGACAGTAGTAAAGAGCGCAAGACATGCATCTTCCCAAGATTCTATTTTGTTACTCGTCCATATTAATAATCCATCTACGGTGTAGAGTTCCCTTATGTAAAAATCTATGAATCTATCCAGTTACACCCTAAATCAGAATGTATAGTAATATTAAATTGATGCCAACTTCCTCCAAACAGGAGTGAGTGTAAGGATAAATTTAGAAAATTCATCCTTTCATTTTCCAGAAACTTCCAGGCTGCCTAAACCTATAAACAGTTGGCACATTATAGAGAATTCCTTCTCTCTCATACCAATCAAAATTTTAAGAATGACCTTACAACAAATACAACTACTAGCGCCTAAAAACAAAGACGGAAAGAGACAAGGAATACAGTTATATGCTAAATCAGAACATATCTTCTAAGCAGATCTGAAAGCTTGAAAAAAAAAACGAGTGGCCGACGTGAAAATGAATTCCATACCAAAAATGATAATCCTTTACACGTTCGGGAGAGAAGAAAGGAACATTCACGGAACAGACGGACATACACGTACAAAAAATACACACACACGTGCACCTAAAATAGGTTGGAAGAATCTACAATGTGCAAAACATCACACCATACGTCCACCTGTCCGTCTAACCGTCTGTTTGTCAGCCTGTGCATGTCTCAGTGGTGTATGTGATGCCTAGGGTGTATGTATGTGTTGCGTGTGCGTATGCGTGTGTGTCTGTATGTCTGTGCGTGTGTGTGTGTGTGTGTGTGTGTGTGTGTGTGTGTGTGTGTGTGTGTGTGTGTGTGTGTGTGTGTGTGTGTGTGTGTGTGTGTGTGTGTGTGTGTGTGTGTGTGTGTGTGTGTGTGTGTGTGTGTGTGTGTGTGTGTGTGTGCAAGTGTGTGTGTGCAAGTGTGCAAGTAATGTGTCATAAATACATAGTTGCAATCAATTGCTGGCGATGGCATGCAGTTGATGAGTTGTGTATATGTATATCAGTTAGCCAGGAACTAAGTAGCAGAAGTTTGGAGGACGCTTTAGCATGCAGACTGCAAGCGATCACATGCTCCGCCCTCTTATTTATAGCAGGGGTATTGCACATCGTTGTCAAGTAAAGGGGGGTCACATAAAAACGGAAGTTGGTTTAAGGCCAGAAAGTGCCAAGTTAGGAGACACTTTTCTCGTGACAACCTTGGCCCCCAGTGCTACGCATGACTAGTACGAGATATCGCGAGAGAAGAAGGGTGTGTGGTAATGAGAGGGTTAAAGAAGTGAGCGTAAGCTTTTTGCAGGAATAATCGTTGACCATCGGAGAAGCCAAAAAGTAAAGGAAATGAAATAAGAACATGGAACCAACCAACCTTTTCAGATTTGTTTGTGAGATGAAAGTGATTAAGCTTGTCAAACTTGTCTTATGACTGTGACAAATGCAGGATTCCCTGTCCACATGTCAACTTAACTTGACGATGCCTCCACCCCACCTCACGGTCACTACCTTCGGTCGACCCAATACAACTATTACATTCAAATATTATTGAATTTTTGTTAACATCGCCGCTGCATTTACCATGCATTGTTTACATGATAGGTCATACTTCTCACAATTGATAATCTCTTATTTGATTATTTCATTATCCCAAAATAAGTTAAGAAAACACGGACCAGCTGATTCCAGAGTGTTGATTGCATCCATACCTTTAGAAAACCTTTCCTCACTTCATCTTTCTTTTTTTTTCCCAAGGGCGAAATAAAGATGTCAATGTTATCAGTGTTGGATGTCGCTGCTCGCTGATCAAATGGAGGACAGACTCGAATAACAAATAACAATCATTCTTGACAATAATCATTTCTCACTTTTTTATGCCATAATATTCGTTATGTAAATATATAATGATATTTATCATGATATCACCGTTGATCACTGCTAAACACAATTGGTTATCGTTGTGAGTAAAATTACCGTCGTCACATATCATCCCCAAAAATAGTATTTCATTCAAGTGAACACAACAAAAATCAGATTTTCGTCTAACAATGTTTTTATAGCTGCTAATAAGGCCTATTTTGTTTCATGATAATGTCCAT